ACGCATGAGGTGCATTGTCCAGAATGGAAGGTGAGAATTTTACTGCTGAACCAGCACTTCCCTCTCTCCTATCTTACTAGGGTACTTATTAAAATGCACCCACAGAGAATCTGGTTTGACAGGCAGGGGTGGGTGGTAGGAATCTTCATATTTAACAAATCTCCAGGTGATTCCCATGCAGGTGGTCCCTGGGCCATATTTTACGCAGTTGTTTTAGAATTTGATCAATCTCAGGACCCACCCCAGTCCCCTGAGGCATATAAACTGGATGACCTCGAGTAAATAGCCTTTCCAGACTGTGTAGAACAGAGATGGAAAATTCAAGTGCCTTCAAGGGCTAGGCAGGGAACACAATGTGCAAATTGCTTGGCTTGTATGAGATAATAGGAAGTTCTGGAGCCTATGAAAAACTGCTCTACCTATGAGTATGTAAAGGAAAAGAACTCTTAACCTACCATGCCGGCCAAACAACACAGACATAGCCTCCAAGTGTCAGTGCTTACCTGCTAAACAGCCTCATAAGACCAAGGAGTCTCTCCATTGTCTTCTCTCCCTATGAGTGGCTTCTCTACCCTGACACTGTATTTAATACTAATGTGGCACTAAGAATAGGTGGGAACAAAGCCATTTATTCAGGGGGATTTTTTTTTTTGTTTTTGAGACAAGATTGGGATGTGGTTCTGTTGATGGAAACTTCTTCGTGTAAGATACTGGAGATAAACTGGGCAGGTACATCTAGGCGGAATTCACACTTAGGGTTTTAAAATCCATTCTTACCAGGGACCTCACTTCTCCCAAGCCACTGCACTTCAGTCTGGGTTTCTGAAATTCTGTTAGTTGAAAAACTTTCAAGTGGTCTTTCTTCCCTACCACCATTCCCTTTGTGGGGCGGGCAGGGGGCGGGGGAAAGGCATCATAATAAATATCAGTAGCATCAGGAGTGATCAAAAATTAAATTCACTTTCCAGGTCATGACTCAGAAGGTCTTATGAATTTTGAATGCGCACATCATAGTGACTCCAATAGGATGGAGAAAGGACAGTAAAACATAGCCAAGCTTTAAATTACCTGGACTTCACAAAAAATTAGAGCAGTAGCTTAAATCATGTAAGAGATATAGGTTGGGGCAGTGAGTGAACTTGTCATTTTTCACTGAAATTACTATCTGGCTGCGTAATCAAGCTAGGCTTTAAAAATGAATGGGGGGGGGCTTTGGGAGCGAGCTGGGGAAGCAGGGACACCACGAGATTAATGGCCTAAGGTTTTAAATATTAAGACTTATATTTATACAGCTCCTCCAGCAGGAATGCTGCCAAGGGGAGGGAAGAAGTGCATGCTTAGGCCTGGCTCATTATGCTGGTTTCCACTTCTGGAATTGTACCAGGAGAAAATCTCATTTGGTTTAGATTTGCAGGGAGATGGGAAGTTGGCTTCTTGAGATATGAAGGTAAAGCCTACCAATGCCACTGTTTCACTGGGATGTTTATTTTTAACATGAAAGGAATTGGCAGATACTTAACCTCTTTAATGTAGGCCCTCCCACTCAAGGGAAACCAATGAATCAGCATGGAGTGGAAGCAAAACACAGGATCAAGTCCACACAAATTTCTAACCACCCTCTCTCTTCCCTCTGTGGGGAGCCAGAGAGAGAAAGTGAGCAGAATGGAAATGGCATCTTGATTACTGGGCTATGACAAATGATTTCTTACCCTAGAAAAGGGATAGGAGTCTCATTCCAAACTCTTAAAATCTATAGAGAGCAATGGTTGGGCCATTTCTGAATCCTACTAGCCTCTCTTCAGAGAGCCCAGCTTTGAGTGACTCACAGAGCAGTGCTCTGGGTCATCATGTGATGGAGAAGGATGATGATGACATTGTCACAGTGATTGGGATGAGGGCACGAATGCAATGATGCCATCAATGGCTGCTGTGGGAAGGAAGTTACAGTAGTGTTGGTGTCACCAGGTATTGGTATGATGCAGTGGTGGTAATGACATTGTTACAGTGGTAATGGGGATGTTGGGGATAATCATGGCCAAGTCATGTGTTTTAGGAGAATAAGAACCCTCTAAGACTTCTTATCTCATTTAGAATATATAATATAAAGTACTCATCATGGTCTAAAGGTTTCATGTGATCCAGCCCCCACCTACCTCTCCAACACAATAACCATCACTTTCCCCTTCACTCACTCCACTCAAGCCACACTGTCCTCTTCGTTGTTCCAAAAACCATCCATGTACACTCCCCAGGATCTTTTATTTGCTTTTCCCACTGCCTGGGGACCTCTCCCCTGGGAGATCTTCATGACTTGTTCCCTTTATTCCGGTCACCTGCATACAGAGGCCTTTGCTGGCAAACCCACCTAGAATGTCACCCCACCCTCATTCTCTGTTCCCTTCTCTTCTTTTGTTTTATTTTTTGGTACTTGTCATTTTCTGATATTTACTGGCTTATTTTCTATGTTCTCTCATTCGAATGTAAGCTCCATGAAAGCAGACTTTATTTTTGTTCACTGCTGCATCCACAGGTCCTGGCATAGTACCTTGCACACGGTAGATGCTAGATAGTCAGTACGTACTTGTTGAGTGAATGTATGCTCAGTTGTAGGGCTGCTGGTAACAGTGGTGTAGACAGATGCTGGACTATTGACAACTCTCTACTGAAACTCCCAAAGTCAAGGGATAATGAAAATGGTGATATGGGCTTTATAGGCGAACTCATTTCTACCTCCCACATGTACAATTTTAGTTTGCTCTGGTTGCACAGGAGCCCTGGTGGCACAGTGGTTAAGCATTCATCTGCTAACCAGAAGGCCGGCAGGTTGAATCCACCAGTTGCTCCTTGGAAAACCCATGGAGCAATTCTATTCTGTCCTACAGGGTTGCTATGAGTCAGAATCGACTCAACGGCAACAGGTTTGGTTTTGGTTTCTGGTTGGAAAGCCCTTAGTTCTACATGTGTAGGCCCACACACTTCACGTGAAACACTTCTGAACCTTACCTCCCAATCTCAGGAGAGCATTCCAGGTCTGAAACTGAACTGCCCAGGAGACATGTGGTGCCACTACACACTACATATTACCCCAACACAGAAAACATTTGGGCTCTTTTCTTTGCAAGGGAAACTCACATTCGCTTCAGTTTCTTGTACTGGGTGAAGGCTCCTGCTGGGATGGACTTGATGGAGTTCTGTTCCAGGCGTCTAGGAACCAGAGCAAAGGAGAGTCAGTTAACCAGCCACCTGTCCACAAGTAGCTAGAGAAGGCTTACTGCTTTCTCTGACCTTAGAACAAGATGGTCCCTCTCATCACAGGGCACGAGTGCTGCTTGGGGGAGACAAGGCAGCCAGAGAGCTCATTTTCTGGTCTATAGAGCACCCATCCAAGGGTCTAACTCCTCTTGAAGAAAGCTACAAAAAGTGCCTTCTCCTTGAGGACTCGTGGTCCTTGCTTACTGAAAACTTCCTTTGGGGGCAGCTATCATCTTCAGAAAAACAAACCTTCAGGAAGTAACCAGAGTTCCAAAAAGTCAAAAGGATAAAGAGAAAGAAGAGTAAAAAGAGATAGGCCACAGGCCAGCCATGCCCATCTGTCATGGAACCATGTCACTCTTCAATTAAATACCCAATCACACTGCTAATAGGGTACTATGCAGCAGAAATGTCCACGGCTGACTTCACAGCTGGGCTTTTCAATGGGCTGTTCTGATATGGTGGAGAAACAGCCTTAAAGTCTTTAGGCTCCCAGGCTGACATTCATCAGATTACTCCCTGACAACCTGCAGGCCCTAGGGGCCCAGACTGGACCACCTCCCTGGGCTACTACTGGAGTCTGTGGCTTTAACCTCTCATGGAGTTTCCTGAAATGCTTCCTCCTCTATTACTCTGAAATGAACAAGAGATTCTGCAAGCCTGGGGCCCAGAACTTCCTTGGAAGAAATGGAGCCATGGGGAGTGGGTGAGCATTTCCATTCTCTATTCTTTCATTCCTCAAATGACTTCCTGTCACCCTGAACAGGTGTGGTGAGTAGCAGGCATAAGGGTGAGGTGGTTCCTCGATTAGAGGTGATGAATGATGACCTGGCCCAGGCTAAGCGCTCAGCATCTCATCCTCATTCATCTCCCTTCTCTCTAAGGTGCAGGTCTTTTCATCACCTCCTCATTGGGCATGGATGCTCCCCGAACCCTTAGCTGGGAAGACACAGAAAAGGTGTGTGTGTGTAGGGGGTGTGGAGCAGAAGCGCTAGAGGGGCGGACTGGCTCCCTCCAAGGCTACATCTAGCGGATTCACATTCTGGCTGGGACAAACCCATTCATCTTGAAGAGTAATCCCCACTGCAGAGTGGGGGAGACAGTCATATTAATTTGTGCCTCTGCGATCTCATCTTCATTGGGGGAGCAGAGTATTTGTTACTGGAACAGTTAATGGAGCAGTTTGCCAGCAATTTTCCCATTTCAAACAACATCTCGGCTGCTAATGTGGAATGGTTTGTCAGGCCTACCCATAACACAGACAAATCACTCTCCAGGCAAAAGGAAGGGGGGACAGTGGGGAAGAGGAAGGGTGGGTGAGGAGAGAGAGGGAGCATCAGGACAGATCATTCTTGGCTGCCAGATGAATAGAGTCTACAAATGAGACTGCCACGGTCTATTAACAATGCCTTTGTGCCTTGCTGAAGGGGGGCAGGCAGAGTGCTTTGCTGGGAATGTGGGCACAGGGGAGCTGGGCAGGCCTGGTGAGCGGGGGCCTGGCTGACTGGCTCACAGTGGGTCATGAAAGCTGGCCACATGGTCTCAGAGACTGTGGGCTACTGGATACAGCCACCCACAGGGCAGGCTGCTTTGACTGAGAAGCTCCAAGGACATTCTTGTTTTCCAGCTGGGTGGAGAGTTCAGCAGGGATTTCTCAGCCAAGGCAGCAGATCCGTGGATCTCTGGGGCTGCCAGTCAGGTGGCAAATGCTCCCTGGGAATCCTGTGATTCACCTGCCACTTTGGCAAGGGACTTCAGCTGGATGATGCCTCTGGATAGAGTCACAGTCTGGGAGGATGGCAACCCGCTCAGCTTTTGCAAGAGGATCCACTACTCCCAGATGCTGGCCAAGAGCCCATGCAAGCCAGATTGGGTGTGTGAGGTATGCTGGCTCTCTATGTGGCTCATAATCAGCTGACCTCCATTTTAGTGAAGTGTGGAAAAGCTAAGGATGAGCAGGATGTGATACTTGTTCCCAAGGAGTTTAATCATCTGGTGATAGAGGGAGGACCAACCCAAGATGGTCTATCTTAGTCCATCGCAGAACCAAATTTATACTGCTTCCATGTTTAGAAGAGCTATCCTTTATGGAGTCTAGTTGATTGACAGCTATCATCTCTTTTAATCCTTACCATACAAGGTAAGCTGTACTGGCCCTGTTTTGTGGGCAAGGAAAATGAAACTTAAGGGATCAAATAATCTGTCCAAAGTCACAAAGCTAGGAAGTAGCAGAACCGAAGATGCCCCATTTCCATCTATTAGACATACTGTCTCTTTTTGAAGACAGAGAAACTGAGGCCCAGAGACTAAAGGGTTTTCCCCAAAGTCACAGAAAGTTTTACAGGATTAAGACCACAGTGTTGATTCTGATACATCGTGCAGTTTCTGCAGAAATAGGTAAAAAGGCTGTAGGAGTGGAGGGAAGATGGAATATAGATGTGAAGGTGTGGTTTCTGAACAAAGAACTCAAATCTTAGCTTGTTACCCTGGCAGAGGCATTGCTCTGTGTCCTGGACTCTCCAGACTTGTGTGCTCTGGGGAATGGTTTTGGTGTCTGCTGTCTCTAAGTTTCTGATGCTGCTTTGGTTACTGGCTGAACATCTAACCTCTTAGGAAGTGCCAAAGCCATGGCATGATTTGAGTTAATCTTGCCTGAGAGGGCATCAGGGATTTGTCTGTGGGTAGGCATGAATGGTCAGTGTACTTTAAATGTAAAAGCAAGGATGTGGATAAAAAATAATAAGACCTAATATACATCAAGCACTTATTGTATGTCAGGCATGGGGTTAAGAATTTTACATAGACAGTCTCACTCAAAATTTACATCTCCATGAGGCAGATCCAATTAGTTATTACCAGACCCACTTTGAACTTGAGAAAAGAGATTAAGTCACTTGTCCATCTTCACAAAGCCAGGACGAGCTAGAGCTGGGACTCAAACCCAAATCCATCCAATTCGAAAGCCCGAACACTCCATCACTGAGCTTTACTGAATACCCTTTGGAGTCGAGACACCTCCATCCTTTGGGTCATTGCCAGCTCATGGTCAGGGAAAACGGCTGCTCTGTCAAGGGAGTAAGGCCGGTGTCTGCACGCATACGTGTGTGTGTGCGTGTGCATGTTCACACCTAAAAAGTCTATGCAGCCCGTACCCCCGGTAGGTTTTGAACAGAGCTCTGTCCCGCAAACTGGAAAAAACGATACTATGCTGCATACTCGCAGTGAAAAAAATCAGTGTAAAAGGCAAAAAAGAAGCATTAGCAACAGTGCAAAATTGTCACATTTAGGGATGTGTCTGAAGCCAACAGCTATTTCAGGTCTCTCTTAACTGGCACATGAGTCTTTCTTTGCCTGGCAAACATTCTTCAGGCTGCAGACTGATTTAACAGAACTAGCATAAAAACAAACATACAAATCAAACATCTGAGCATCTTCCTGTACCAGCAAAAGCAATGGGGACTTCTGATGGGAATTTCAGTCATTTGCTCTCTATATTGATTTGTCCCAGTTCCTTGGGTGCTTCCTTAATAATCTATCATTTGCAAACATGTGACTGAACGCAATATATTTCTAGCAATATATAAGTCAACATGATGTCACAAAGAATGGCAGGGCCATAGGTAGTAAAGGGGCCCGGCTGTGAACTCCCCTATAAAGAGGCTCTGGGGCTGGGATGAAATATTGATGGTGGTGGTGGTGATAGCGAGAATGGTGCCAATGATGGACAACTACCATTTATTAGGGGCTTTTGATACGTTAGACACTGTGTCCTTCACACACTGGCTCATTTTATTCTTTTCAATAGGACTATGAAGCAAGTATTATTATCAACATCTTCATTTTATGGATGAAAAAACAGTGGTACAGAGAGGTTAATTTGCCTAAGTCAGGTAGCTAGTAAACGGCAGAACCTGGACTTGAACTCAGGTCTGTGGGATTACAGTGCCTGAGTTCTTAACCCCTAGGCTATACTGCCTCCCCCTAGAAGCCACCTTGGTGGTACTCAGCTATGATTCTTAACTCTTTCCCATCTTTCTTAGTTTTCCTTTGACTTGTGAACTCTTGTTAGGGCACCCAGATTCTGCTGAAGAAAGGAAGCCCCAGCTCTATCCCTTCCTAAAGTCATCTTGGGCCGTTTGGTAGTGAGCAGACAACAGCTCAGAGCCCAGAGGTTCAGTCCCTGATGATTTCCTATGCCTGGAACAGGGCAGAGGGGAACCCCCAAGGTTACAATCTGGGATCAACTTCTGGGGCAAGCCCTTTCTGGCCTCTCTTTTTCTTTACCTTTGCTCCTGGTGGTTCTTTAGAAGGGCAATGAATCCTCAACATCCCGACTGAGTTTATATGCTTGGTCAACAGCAAAGATGAGGAATGTGCACATATCTGACATGAGCCACTCCTAACCTTTTGTCTGCAGAACACCTGGCATTGCCTATGGAAAACAGAAGTGCAGACACAGAGCCAGGTTTGCTGTTTTTATTATATGCTTGTGCCCAGATCCCAGATGCCTCCAACAGAGGAAAATTTTCCATCTTCTAAAAAATGATTGAAGAATGGAATGGGAACTTGATACTAAACCATTCTATACTACTACACACGTATACATGTGCATACCTGTTTCTGCTTTGCAGAGTTCATTTAGCAGGGTCTAAACATTGTGTTAACTTTCTACACATTGTGTTATTTAATCTTCATGGAAAATCTTTAGGTAGGTATGATCATGCCCATTTTGCAAAGGGGGAAACTGAGGATGAGATGTTAAGAAACTTGCCCAAAGAGGCAGAACTGTCATTCAAACCCAGGACTGTTCACTCCAAGTCTCTACTCCTAACTATTCTGTTGTCTGATCAGCTTCTCTTCTGTACCACCTGCCCTATCTCTACCTCATCTCCTCACCTTCCATGTGACAGTCCCCCAGAACGTTTCAAGAATCACTGATATGGGGGTTCTTG